GGCTGGGCGAGACGTCGGTGGACCTCGGGAAGAATAGGCGGGATGCACGGGCGATGGGCGAAGCGATTCACAGTGCGAACTTGGAACGATGAATTGCAGATGGAGGTCATCTGTTTTGTTGCTCTGGGCCCGATCAGAAGCTCACCCGGATGCGTTATTTTTCCGCGTGCAAGGCGAAGGAAATGTTTAGAAACTCTCGTTCCCATCGGCCAACTAATTTCCAATGGATTTTGCTCGACGCATATTGCGGCTGCGACTGGCGATGGCAGACCTCCCTCATCGCGGCCACGCTGGCCATCGCGCCCAACGCATCCACGGCGCCCCCAGCGGCATCGGGCGCGAGGCCAAGCAGGCGAAGCGGCACATCGCCCAAGGCCGTGCGCAGTAGAAGGACGACAAGTCGATTGCCATTCGACCTTGCCCCGATGGCGCGCGCAATGTCAGGGGCCAGTGGCGTTGCTTGTACTTTCGCCGACTGTTTCGCGCGGTGATCTGCGCCGCCTGAAATCAACGTGGAATAGGGCTGAGCCAGCTGACCCAGCGTCATCAGTGACGCGCCGACGCCAGCTGCCCCGCTCTCGCATAAAGAGTTGGAGGAGGCAATGAAGGATTTGAGCACTGGCAAAGCGAAGGACACATCGGGCATCATGGCGGAGATGGTCCAACCTGCGGGCTGTGTTCTTGAAGGCGTCGTTCTCTAAATGTTTGGCGACGTCGCACAAGCTGGAGCGACCGGGTTGGAAAAGCGCGCGCGAGCACTTCTCGCGGCGGGTGGCAGCGCAAAGCAGCATAAGTATATGCCCATCACGGCTATGCCGTTTCTCAACAAGTCGCTCATTATTCCGGGCTTCTGTGCGATCGACTGGAGCCAACGTTAGACCTGCAACAACCGCTTCGCCAAGCAGGCCCCAGCAAGCAGTAACTATTCCACGGGGGGCCGCTTATTCGCATCAACTGCGGTTTCGAAGGTGATTCACGAATGGCAAGTGCAATTTTGGATTGCGACGCGTGATTTTGACAAGGCCTCTGACGCAGTACCCCGCTGCGCACTGCGGTAAGCGTTGCGCGGGCAAGGCGTATCTGAGGGCTGCGTTTTTTTGTTTTTTCCGACGTTTGTGAACAGACAAGGCGGGTCTTGTCCTTACCGACCAAACAAACAATGCGCCCCTAAGTCTCTTTTGGATCAGACAGAGGGATCCTGTGAGATCTCTGATTCCCAATGCGCCGTCCGAAAGCATGCCCCCGGCGATGCAGTCCAAGGAGCAACGGCCCGGGCGCGGTCCGCAACTGGGGTTTTTTGGCGAATGGAATTTGCGAATTTGCGATTCCTTGGCCGCGTTTCCTCGATTGCCACACATCTCTGACAAGAGACGAGCGTGTCACGAGGCATCTCGGGAGGAGCCGCCAAAGCCGAATTGGAATTCGACCGGGGCCCAACAACAAATTGCACAGCCAGGGCGAACGCCGACAAAGGACGCGCCCCGAAAACATTTCTGATCCCGCGCTCCCTGCGGAAATGCCCAGGCAAGCTGCGTCGAAGAAGTATATGGGAAGAGAAGTCGCGCTCCAGGAATCCCGCAGAACGGAAGTCGAGAATCGCGTCGCTGCGGGCAGGAGAAGTTCCATACGTTGAGGGAGAATTCGCTTCGCGATCGCATTCGCCTCGCGACCTGGCACTTTATTTAATGGCGCGTTCGTCGCATATTTGCTTGGCGGGCGTGCCTCTTGGACTCCTATTCTGCGAGCTCGAGAGCAACATCAAGCGCGGACAGAGACGCGTCGCGCATGAGGACCCGTCTGCCACAACGCCGGGTCGCAGATTCAGTCATTGGGCCTTGGAATCTGTGGATCAAACGAAAAACCACACACGAAGCAGAACGCGCTCTTGACCAATGGGTGTACAATTTTGGGTCGCCATGCAGCCGCAATGGATGTTGCGATGGGCTGCCAGAGTGGCTGGGGAACCATGGGAATTATGATTCAAAGCGCTGATTTGGGATCAGTCGCTGTCTCTGGATCCGTCGTTGCATCGCCGAGAAGCGACGAGCCCGGCCAACCACTCGGCTGGTGGACGATATTGTGAAGTACGCGAACAATCCTGAATGGTTCAGTACCACTCCACCTGCTGAGTGGGAGCGCCTTGAGGCTGGCTTCTTCTCTTTTGCCAGAGCGTGAATACTCCAGCTCTCCACCACAATTCACTTGTAATGCTTCCTGGGGTGCTCCTGGCCCCCACCCCGCCTATTTCCTTCGCGTGGACTTTTGCGCGCGGGCTCTGATCTACTTTGATCTGCCCAACAAGAGCCACCGCCAAGTACAGTTCGTGTAGCGGAAGCCAAGTTAGTCAGGACACCGTTGTCTGAACAGCACGCCTAAATTGGGTAATCGAAACTACGACAAGCCAAGTATTACATGGGCCTTTTCATTTGGACGGCACATCAGGATCTCCACCCATGTCGAGCAGGGCAGCAATCATAGCCGCACTGGGGCCTCTCACCGTGGACCATCGCAGCAAAATGGCGAAGGCTACCGCGAAGATTTCTCCAAGCCTTGTAGAGCTTGCTTGTCGGCAGTTTATGCATGCCAGACGGGGATGCCAAATCCTACGTACCCTTGGCGCGCACTGTACACGCACAGGGGCAAACTATGATGCCCGCGTGCCCTGGACACTGGTGGTACACACCCCCGAAATCGATACCGAGACCACTGAGCCGCCGGAGCTCGAAACGTCTGCAGCCCAGATGTAGTTACATGTATACCTGGGTGACTTCCAGAACCCACAGCCGAGACCCCAGATTGTAGAGTTCCCAAGAGCGGCCACACAGCTTAACGGGAGGAGCGGGAAAATGATCGGGAGGAGGATGAGCAGGCCACTTCGTCACTCCGATGAGCTTCTTAGGGCCCTAGGGCCCTTTTGAACTTCCCCAAGCCCTTCCCCGTTGTTCCTCCTTGTTCCCAAGGCCTGGGGCCCTGCGCGGAGCAGAGGTGCTCAAATTGATACATTTTTCGATTATTGCACTGCCAGAAGACTGCCGGGTGTTCCCGCTCACTCGCACTTCACCCTTGGCATTCAGCTTACTCCCTCCCTGCTCCTCATCGGGATCGGGCTCGTGGAGCTCGGGCGTCTGCTCTGAGCCATCGCGAGGGCCTCACGTTGCGCCGCGCGTAAGCTCTGAGTGGCGGAGCTCGGTTGGCCGCCAACCTTGCGGGCGACCCTCGCTCTCGGACGGGGCCGCACCGCCTCCGCAAGGGGGCAACCGCCCGCGCGGGCACGCAGCCGAGAGGCGAGCACAGCGGGGGGCGGGGCTCCCTGTCCTATGTGATGGCATGCCCGATTTTCCCTCCTGGCATCCCCCCGAGCACCGACGATGACGAGGCCGACGTCGCCGTCGACACCGCCGACGACGATCCCCCGTGCCTCAGAACCAACGAGGTGGAGGAGGAGGAGGAGGAGGAGGAGGAGGAGGAGAAGGAGAAGGAGAGGGACAAGGATGAGGAGGTCGAGGAGGAGGAGGAGGCGGAGGAGGAGGAGGAGAAGGAGGAGGAGGACGAGGAGGCGGAGGAGGGGGCCTCTGGAGAAGCCTTCGGAGAAGCCCTTCTCCTCCTCGCTTCCCCCCCCTGGCTCGCCGCCGACAAGACGCCCCCGCCACAGCACCTCTCCCGGAGCGCGTTCTGACCAGGACTCCAGGCGAAAGCTCTGCCCGTGGCCGGGGCAGGGTGCCCCAGGAGGCCCCCCAAAAAGGTTTCGGGAGCGCCCCAGAGACCTGGATCCTCGATCCAGGGATTTAGAACACGGGGGAACGCTGGGCCCTCGATCCTCGACGACCACGCTCCAGCAAGCCCACGTAGGACGGAGACAAACTCCGCTCCAGAGCGCTCCGGAGGGCTCTCAGAGGCTTCCGGAGCGCTCCGGGCCGGCCGCGGCGCCCGATACGTCCTACAGATCCTCCAGCTCTCAGAGATTCCCGGTGTGCCCTCATCCGATGTTATCCTGCCTGCGCCTTACAGTGGGGGCCCGTGCCAAGAAGCACCCTTCTTGCCTCCACGGTGCCCTGGGTTTCTGGGGTTGCGCTGGTTTTGCGATGGAGAGCGTGACGTTTCCACATCTTTCGGGGGTGGACAGGCCTCCTACCCTGACACGTCGATTCTCGAATTGGCCGTTTTCGGTTCGCGAGAGGGCGTCGCGGCCGTCATTTTTGCGGCGGGTCCAGGTCCGTCGGTTTCGGTCCCAGGCCGTCTTCACCAAGGGGAGATTTACGAAAGGGAGGCTTGTCCACCGCCGAATCATAAACCAATGGACGTCCTGGGGTCTCAGGGTTAGGTCGGGCCTGTCCCCCATACAGGGGAATTTTCGACGAAAAATCAAAAATACCATAACAATAGCAACAACAAAAAAAATAGTCCCGAAATGGTCTGGGGACTATTTTTTGAATATGTTTAAACCCTTTTGGGGCATGTTTGGGGTATTTTTCATTTTTCGTCGAACATCCCCCTGTAGGGGGACAGGCCCGACATAACCTCAGGGTTGGGCTTCTTGTGGAGTGGTCTCCACTGTAGCCCTCGGCGATCCTCGGCGAGTGTTATGTGGAGTAATCCTCGGTTGAGACGGTTTTGGATCGTCAAGACGCAGCTGTCAGGTGCGGCGTTGAAATATCGAGGACAATGTTTTGGCACGCCTCAGGATCTTCAAAGTGTTGTCTCCCGGCGAGGCAGTTCCCTCAGTGGAAGTTATGTGGTGTTATGTGGGTTTCTTGTGGAGTGGTTTCCTGTGGAGTGGTTGGGGTATTGTTGGGTTTTGTATTTTTTGACCCTTTCGGGGTATTGCTGGGCTTTTTTTATTTGTCGTCGAAGATCCCCCTGCAGGGGGACAAGCCCGCCATACTCTCAGGGTCGGGCTTCTTAAGGAGTGGTCTCCACTGCAACCCTCGATCCTCGGCGAGGGCGGCGGCCGCGACGGCGACGCAGGGCCGGCACGGCCGGCGCCGCCCGACGCGCGGCAGGCTCGCCGGGGAGCCGGACGCGGACGCGTGGAGGGCCTCGGAGCTGGGAGAGTATGCGCGCGGGCGGCCGCGTCTCCGCCGCCCCCCGGGGGCGGGAGGAGCGGGGGGACGTTTTTTTGTTCCTCGGGTCGTGCCCCTCCTCCTCTCTCCGTCCCCCCCCCCTCCTCCTCCTCCGTCCCCCTTCTCCCCCTCCCTCCCACCTCCTCCTCCGCCTCCTCCCTCCTCCTCCTCCCCCTCCTCCCTCCTCCTCTCCTCCTCCTCCTCTCCTCCTCCTCCTCCTCTCCTCCTCATCCTCCTCATCCTCTCCTCCTCCCTCTCCTCCTCCTCCTCCCTCCCCCTTCTCATGCCCCTCCTCCTCTCTCCGTCCCCCTCCTCCCCCTCCTGCCTCTTCCTCCGCCTCCTCCTCCTCCTCCTCCTCCTCTCCTCTCCGTCCCCCTCCTCCCCCTCCTCCCTCTTCCTCCGCCTCCTCCTCCGCCTCCTCCTCCTCTTCCCTCCTCCTCCCTCCTCCGCTTCCTCCGCGCTCCATCCGTCTTCCTCGTGTGTAGAACTCCTCTCTGCGCCGCCACCAGACGTGTTCGTGGGTTGGGCGGGGCGTTTCGCTTGAGACGTCCTTGCAATTCAGCACCCTGAGGCTAAATTATCCAGCTGCCTGCGGCAAGCCACGCCACCGTGCCTGTGCGACAGCGCAGCAGGAAGGAGGCTGAGCGTAGGAACAGACGAGTGGTCTGAATTGGGACGGGTCGTGAACTCGACCTCGTCTTCGTCCTCGCGGTACGAAGGAGGTCGAGTTCACGAACCTGCGGCAGTTTTGATCTCGACCTCGTCTTTGTCCGCGCGATAGGGAGGAAGAGAAAGAGGAGGAAAACGCGTAGGAGGAGGAGGAGGAGGAGGAGGAGGAGGAGGAGGAGGAGGAGGAGGAGGAGGAGGAGGAGGAGAGGGAGACAATGATGACGAGGGGGAGAAAGCTTCGTGGGGCCATCTTGGGGCATCCTGTGAGCCTCCTGAATGCCTCTGAGGGGCCTCTTGGAGGCCTCCTGGGGCCTATCGGGGTCTTCTCGGGGATTATTCGGCCGTCTTGGGGATCTCTTGGCCCGTCTGACGCCTTCGGAGGCCGTCTTGGGCTCCTCTCTGGGCCGTCTTGGTGCCCTCCTGGGAGCCCCTTGGGCGATCGCTGGGTCCTCTTCAACCGTTTTGGGGCCCTCTGGGGAGCCTCTTGGGCGATCGCTGGATCCTCGTGGGCCGACTTGGGGCCCTCTTTGGGGGCGTCTTGGGCTGTCCTGGAACTATCTTCGCGGCCTCCTGGAGGCCTCTTGGGAAGTTCTAGTCGGCCGGAAACCCCAACAGGCGAGTACTTCAACATCCATCAAACGCCCATGGACAGTTGTTCGTTTGGGCTTCCTGGGGCTCTCCTGGATGGCCTCTTGGAGCCGCTTGCCGGCAGTCTTGGAGCCCTCTTGGGAGCCTTTTGAGGGCCTCGTGGGCCGTCTTGGGGGCCTCTTGGGCCGTCTTGGAAGGGCGGAGGGTCCAGGCACGCGCGCGGGGAGGGCGGGGGGCGGCCCCAGAAATCTCTGAAAGACCTGCCAGACAGCAGAAGAGCACCCCAGCCCGCCCCAGCGGCCACGGGGCCTGGTGGCGGACTCCGAGAGTTCTGTTGATGGAGGGCCAGTGGTTTTCAACTCGCCGCTCTCACTTTTGAGCCGCGCGCGTTTGCTTCAAAAGTGCCGACCGCTATACGGATGGAGGGCCAGTTGTTTTCGAAAGGTGGCTCTCGCCCTAGCGGCGCGCACGTTCGTCTCACAAGTTTGTAACAGCTACAGGGATGGACACGGTGGTCTTCAAAATGTTGTTCTAGCTGGACACTTTCGCGAGCTTCATGAAGAGGATTGTTGAAGTCGTGCAACACGTGGACGGATGGCGGGCAGGTTTCTTTCAAAACGTGGAAATAGTTCTGATATTTCGCTGAGATGTGTACCATCCTTCCTCTCTGCGTTCCGTCCAGCTAGAAATGCAGAAGGTGGATCCTTTCCAAACGGGGTCTTGCCTGAGTGGCAGGGCCACCGGGCACTTGTCATTCAAGTGGGAGCACTTCCCGAATTCGAAAGGAGTGCTTGCAGGGATTTATGAGGACGGGATTTTGGACGGGAGGGTGTATTGCGGAGCATCGTTGTCACATGTTGTGTCTACATTGGTCCTCTTCCTCCTCTTTCCTGTCTGCTCCCTCTTCCTTCCCTCCTCCTCCTGATCCTCCTTTTTCTCCTCCTCCTCCTTTTCCTGTTATTTCTCCGGCACAAATGCGCAATCTCAAGACTATGCTCCCCTCTCCCCCGACTAGGCCCTGAAGCTATCCCGCCCTCTCCGTGCACTGTTCCCAACCATCCTGTGGTGTTGGGGCCTCGTTGTTTGAAGGAAGTCCCCGCGTCTCCTCCTTCTCCTCCTGCTCCTCCTCCTCCTCCTCCGCCTCCGCCTCCTCCTCCTTCTCCTCACCCTCCTCCTCCTCTCCCCTCGGGAGTTCCAGCGACGGCCCCAGTGGCACGGTCCACATGCGGTCCCCCACCCACTTCGGCACACCCCGCGCGCGCTCCGTGGCCCAGTAGGGGGCTCCACCGAAGGCCCCGGCGGCAGGGCCCACCCATGTCGGCACACCCCTCGCACGCTCGAGTGGCCCCACAGGGAGCTCCACCGAAGGCCTCAGCGGCAGGGTCCACGTGCGGTACCCCCACCCATGTCGGCACACCCCTCACACGCTCCGTGGCCCCACAGGAAGCTCCACCGAAGGCCCCAGCGGCAGAGCTTGCACGCGGTTCTCCGCCCAGTTCGGCACACCCCTCGCACGTTTGAGTGGCCCCACAGGGGGCTCCACTTCCGGCCCCAGTGGTTGGACTTGCATGCGGCCCCCCGCACACTTCGCACTTCGGCACAACCCTGACACGATTCGGGGGGGGGGGGGGGGGGCGAAGGGCCCCCCCTCCTCCTCCTCCTCCTCCTCCTGCTCCTTGCGCCCCCCTTGAGGTTCCCGACCTCCTGAGATCTTCGTCGGCCTTTACCCTGGAGGCCGTCTTCAGCCTCCGGGCCTGGCACGCGTCCGCCGCCCTGGCAGCGCGAAGGCGGCCGGGAGCGGCAACCGCAGGTCTGCGTTCCCCTCGGTCTGGGTCAGGGGCTACGGCTCGCAGGCCAGAGGGAGTGTCAGTTTGTCTGTTCGCTCTGCAACGCTCTACGATAAACAACGATGATTTTGATGACCATGATGATGCTGCTGATGATGCTGATGCTGATGCTGACGATGATGGTGATGATGATGCTGACGATGATGGTGATGATGGCAATCGTAATGATCATACCGACGATGATGGTGATGATGACGCTGATGATGACGATGGTCATGATGCTGATGATGATAATGACCTGAATGGGAGGAGGAAGCAGGGGGAGGATGAGGATTGAGGAGGAGGAGACGCGGAGGATTGAGGACGAGGACCCATCACCACAGGATGGTTGGGGGAAACATCGTTTTCAAATTTAGCTGGCAAAAGCTCCCAGGCCAATTACGTTCTGACAGAATAGTCGATCGTGCTTGTGAAGTCCACACAGAGATGAAGTGGATGCATGGGCTTTTTTGTTGTCGCCAATTGTTTCCAATTGTTGACGCTTCGCGTATCCCCACCAGCCCATCCAGAAACGATGCTCAGGGGAGTTGAGGTGATCAGGGAAGTCGGGGAGCATGCAGAATAACAAAGGGCGGGGGAAGCTGTCACAGACCCCGAGAGGGGGAGGATGGAAGAGGAGTCGTCGTCGTCGTCGTCGTCGGAGGAGGAGGAGGAGGAGGAGGGGGAAGAGGAGGAGGAGGAGGAGGAGGAGGAGGACGGAGAAGGAGGAAGAATCGGAGGAGGAGGAGGAGGAGGGGAAGGAGCTTCTTGGGGGTCTTTTGAGGGCCTCTTGGAGGGCTTTTTGGGCGCCTTGGGGCATCTTGGGCGCCTCTTGGGACCCTCTTGAGGCGCTCTGGGGAGCCTTCGGGGCGCTTTTGGGGCCATCTTGGAGGGAGTCGATCAAACAAGAGGGGGGGTTTAATTAGCGCCCCCCCTCGGAAGCCCCTAAAATCGCCTCTTGGACCCCTCTTGGAACGCTCTTGGAGTGCTCTTGGGCGCTCTTGGGGCCGTCTTGGGGCTCTTTTGGGGCTCTCTTGGGGCCCTCTTGGGCCATCTTGGAGCCATCTCCAGGCCTCGGATGGCCATCGGAAGCGAAAAGGCGAGAAAGCAAAAATCATTGATTTTCCTTAGGTTTTGGGACGATTTTGGCCTCTTCGGGGCCTCCTTGGGGAGCTGTTTGGCCACTTGGAGTTATCTTGGGGCCGTCTTTGGGCTTCTTGGAACCATCTTAGGAGCCATCGTGAGCGATCTTGCGCTATCTTGAGCCATCTTGGAGCTCATCTTGGGTTCTCTGAGGCGCTCTTGGAGCCGTCTTGGGCCATCTTGGACGCTCTAACTACCCGCGGCCCCCCCCGTCCAGGTCCAGGGGAGGGGGTAGGGGGAGGGGTAAACCCCTCCCCAAGGGGGAAGAGGGAGGGGTGGAAGAGGATCTGTTCTAGACCACCTACGCCCAGAGGGCTGGTGGGATTTTTGTGGAGCCACAGACCGATTAAGTTCTGAAAACGTGTTGGTCTTGTTTTTGGGAAAACCTTTCAAGGACGAATGTGAGGTTCTTTTGGCTCTTCAATGGTCTTGGAGCTTCTACCTCCGATTGCTTTTCCAGTCATCCTCATTATCCTTCTGCTCCTCCTCCTCCTCTTCGTGAGGTTCCCACTTGAACTGCAGTTAAGTGCTGCGGCAGAAAAAAAACAACAGCAATAAAAAGTTTTGCACCCGCTACACAAAACATGCAAACAAGGCGCACAGGCCGCCATCTCCTAGTACTACTACGACTACGACAATTCGTATTATGAGTAGTGTCGTTATTAGTTTTGTTATTACTACGACTACTACTACTACTACTACTACTACTACTACTACTATTACTACTATTCACACTACTACTACTACTACTACTACTACCACTACTACTACTACTACTACTACTACTACTACTATTCACACTACTACTACTACTACTACTACCACCACTACTACTACTACTACTACTACTACTACTACTACTATTACTACCACTACTACTACGACGACTACTGCCACTACTACTACTACTACTACGACTTCTACTCCTCTCCCGACTCCGACTACTACTACTAATACCTAGACGACGGCGACGAAAACTACTACTACGACGACGACGACGACCACTACTAGTGCTACTACAATTGCTTCTTCTACTATGGCTACTATTATGATGATTATTCGTACTACTACTCCGGTTACTACCACTACTTCTACTACTACTACTACTACCACTACTACGACTACTACTACGATCACTACTACAACTACTACCACTACTACGAACTACTGCAACTACCCCCACGACTCCCACGACTCTTATGACACAATGACTACCAGCATTACGACCACTACTACGATTACCACTACGACTACTATCTACTACTACTACTACTACTACTACTACTACTACTACTACTACTACTACCTACTACTACTACTACTACTACTACTACTACTACTGCTGCTACTACTACTACGACTACTACTACTACCTACCTACTACTACTACGGCGACTATTACTACTACTACGACTACTACTCTTACTACTACTACTGCTACTACTACTACTACTACCACTACTACTACTACTACTACTACTACTACTACTACTACTACTACTACGACTACTACTACTACTACTACTACTACTCTCCCTACTCCGACTACTACCACTATGAGTATTACTACGATTACCTCGCACCACTACTACTACTACCACTACTACTACTACTACTACTACCACTACTACTACTACTCTTGTCATTATGTGAGTTCCACTTCTACTACCACTATTACTAGCACTACTACTATTACTACTACTGCTACTACTACTCCTGTTACTACTACTACGACTGCGGCTACTACTACGACTATTACTACTACTACTACTACTACTACTACTACCACTACTACTACTAGTGTTTACGTGTACGGGTACCGCTACTAGTAGTAGTAGTAGTAGTAGTAGTAGTAGCAGTAGAAGTGGTAGTAGAAGTGCTAGTAGTAGTGCTACTACTACATCTACTACCATTACGATGTCCACTATTATTTTTTCAGCTACTACTACCACGACTACCAGTACCGCCATCACATTCGCGACAGTGGCTACTACGACTACTCCTACGACTACGACTACTACTACTACTACTACTACTACTACTAAATCTCCGACCAGCTCTACTCCTACTACGCCTACCTCGTGCTTCTACTACCACTACGACTATTGCCACCTCTGCGACTATGATTACTACGACTACTACTGCTACTGTTACTACTACTACTACTACTACTACTACTACTACTACTGCTACTACTACTACTACTACGACTATTACTACGATTGCTACGACTAGTACGCCTGCTACCACTACTACTTCTACGACTACTTCTGTTACGACTGTTACTAGCAGTATTGTGACTACTACTTCTGCCCTTCTACTACTACTACTATTATCACCTTCCTGCTGATATGCTCCCACGGGTAGATTTCGATCCTTTACGAACAATAGTTTTACTACTACTGCTGTATTAGTATTGCTACGGCTACTACTACTACTACTGCTACCCCTACTACTACTACTACTACTACTACTACTACTACTACTACTACGATGACTACGACTACTGCACGGACTACTGCTACTACTAACATTATTATTACTACTACTACTACTGCTACTACTACGAGCGCTGCTACAATTACCACAGCTACGACGACGACGACGACGACGACTACTAGTACTACTAGCAGCTCTCATTACTGCTACGGCTACCAAGCATCCCGCTACCATCTCTACGACTCATACTGCCACTGCTGCGTTTACCACGACGTCTACGACTACGTGCATTATGAACTTGATGAACATTGCGACCACCGCTTCTACCCGTGCTACCGTTACAATTAGTAGTACTGCCCTTGCTATTGTTACTACCACTACTCTTACTACCATCACTACCATTACTACTACGGCTGCTTTGACGTCTATTACCTACAACCTCTACTACTGGTACTAGTACTAGCCGTACTACTACTACTACTACTACTACTACGACGACTACTGCTACTACTACTACTGCCACTACTACCAACACTACTTCTACTGCCACTAATCCCACCACGACCTGTATTACTACTACTACTACTACTACTACTACTACTACTACTACTACTACTACTATTACTACTACAGCAACTACTACTACTACGACTAAAGGCTACTACGGCGACTGCTGGCAGTGGTAGTCGTAGTAGTAGTACTGCCACTACCACTTAGATTACTTGTACCCTCGCTACTAACATGTGTATTGCTTTTGCTACCACGACTTTTTAGCACTTTGAACAATATTACTACCACTACCGCTACCACGACTACGACTACGACTAGTACCACCATTACTAATAGTCCTATTAGCACTGCTACTACTGCTACTACTACTACCGCTGCTACCACCACCACTGCGATTGTTTCCACGACGAGAGCGACGATACGTTATCCTTCTGCGACCACTGCTACCACATACTGCTACCGTGCGACTACGACTGCTACTACTTTT